GTCAAGTTGCGGCAGAAGGCGAAATCAATATTGTTCACAAAAACACAAACCAACAAAAACATATAAGCCGAACTACGGCTGCTCTGATTCCTTAGAAGGGATACGTAGGCATCGGGGTAGGGCCCGAACGAGCACAACTTTTATTTTCCCTACATTTTCCCCCTTTCTTTTGTATGCATTCTCCTTTTAGCAGTAATAAACAGTAAGCATAGATTAAACACACCCATAAGATAGATAACAAGAGTGGATACCGTAGAGTACTACGGGCGTGTGGGGTGCTAATACCTTCCCCTCGCGTAACAGACTCCCTTACCCTTATCTCTCGGTCGCAAGACCGTGACTTCTCCCTCATCAGGTTTTCTCGATGTTTACCTTTCCCTTCATGTGGGATAAAAGACGTTCGATGGCGACTTCATTTTTTTGATGATTTTCAGCCGGTTGTTTCAACAATTAACAAGCTTCCAAATAGCTCGTTCTTTATCCTCTGAAGACAAAACCTCTACACCTGATCGAAAATGGAGATATGTTCATCAGAAGTATAACACTATCCAATATCTTCAACATCCTTGGACACGACAGAGAGGTAAACATTTTCTATTTGTTCTTTAGAAAATAGTAAGACAAAAAGGAATCACCACCACCACTATAATCGTCAAAGGGGGCAACTAATATCCTCAAAGTCCACAACCTTACACTTTGCCTAAGCCCTATTTTAAATGTTTCTTCGCAAACCCTACTCATTACAAAAAGTGCGAGAAAGGTAAATTCATACCAGGAAGAATGTTGTGAACGAGGAAGATGGAGAGATGAGACGTTAGGTGTAACACCCCAAAATAATTAGATTATTTATTTAATTATTTAATTGTGAGTATTGTGACTTATTTGTGAGTTTATGTGATGTTTTGATGAATATGATCTGTAATGTGATGGTATGTGTGGTATAGTGGGAAATAAAGAGACATTGAGTATTTTAAATAATTAGAGTAAATATTTAGATTTATTTTAATTGGGAAAATAGAGATAATAATATGATGTAGAAACTATGAGGGAAGGTAGTAAGTGGTAAGAGGTTAAGTGAGGGAAAAAGTGGAAGACCATATTAGAGGTCCAAGGGGTAAGTTTGACATAAGGAAATTTGGGGTTTAGAACGCTCATTGTGTACGATCACGCTTGGAGAAAAGATGGAGAAAAAAAGCAGACCTAGGGCATTAAGGAACTCAGAGGAATTTTGTAGAATGTGAAGGAGAGTCGATTGCTAGCTATAATCTAAGGTAAGAGGGGTTATCCTTATCATTATGATTGGTATGGTGTTAGGTATAAGTAGGTTTGTATTTGGAGTTTTAATTTGATGATGATAATATGATGATTTGTGATGATAATGATGATTCGTAATATGTAAAATTCCATGAAATTGTGCTTATCATGTTGTGTTATTGTGATGTTGTGAAACTATGATGAATTGTGTGAATTTTGGACTGAATGAGTGTTAAAATCGCAAGAAAATTGGACTAACTTTGTGCAGAAAAAGCAACAGGAGAGTTGGTGTTTTCGTGCCTTCGCCAGGTGAGTCTCCCAAGTCGTCGGGCGAAGCAACTTCGCCCAGAATTTGTCAGGCGAGAGTAATGCGAGAGAGAGGGATGATTTTTTGGCAAGTTTTTGGAAAATGTATGGAGGAGGTGTCTCGCTCCAGCTTCGTCGGGCGAAGCTGAGGTGAGCTTGAGCTCGCCGGGAGAATGAAGAGATCGTCAGGCGAAAGAGATGATGGAAAATAGGTGCTCTTGGAGTTTTATATGGGGGATGTGTTTCACCCTAGCCTCGTCAGGCGAGCCTCTGACGAGCAAGCAGCTTCGTCAGATCTAATAGATTTTTAATAGGCTGTAACTTAAGTTTTCGAACTCCGTTTGATGCACCGTTCAAAGTGTTAAAAAGATAACGTGATGAACTATACTTTTGTGAAATAAAATGAATCATATGATGTATTTCTCCAGTGATTGTGCTATGATGAATTGAGGTGATTATGCATTGATGTAATATGATGTATGTTTCCTATGATGAATTGATGTCGTTATGATGATGACGTATGTATTTTGAAGTATGTGATGATACTATGATGATTATATGGATGATGATGCGTTTTGACTAGCAGTGTTCATGCTTTATTGTGTTGTTGCGCATCATCCATTCATGGTGTATATTAGGATATTGGTCTAATAATGTTGTTAGGACGATTGGTCCGGTGATGTTGTTAGGACGATTGGACCAGCGATGTTGATAGGATGTTGTTCCAATGATGGCCTCAATCCCATAGTGTGGATTGAGTGTAATATTGTGAATTGCTCCAGTTCCAAGCAGGAATTAATCCTATGGTGGGGATTTTTGGAGTAAGATGACTTAGTCATCAGAGAAGTTTTTGTACCACATGCATGAGTAAAAAATGTTGCATTACATTCTTCGTGACATTGAATGATGATTGATTAAGTGATGTTTTGATGATGTGTGACTTAATGATGTCTTGGTGATGATTGTTGATTTGATGACATGATGATGGTGTGAGTGAATTAATGATGTGAAAAAGTGAGTATTATATATGATGTATGACGATATGTGGTTTCATGTTAATGTGTTGTAACTACTGTACTTATTCCTTATATCTTTTATAATGATTTGTGATTACTCACCCTTTTTGCTTGGAAATGATGCCTCGATACGTGGGTAACTTGCAGGTGATCATGAATAGTTTGTTAAAGCTTAGAGGATAGATTTAGAGTGCGTTATTTATTTCCTATTGAATAAAGTGGGTCTTGCTCTGATATGTAACATCATGGTTGAGATTGTTTGATTGGAATAATTTTTTTAAAATTTATTTTGAGATTTTGAACTAACTTTCATGGTATTTAAGTTATTTGAATCATGAATCATGAATGATGAAGTTTCTATGAAGTATTTTAGTAAAGGTGCTTTGAAACTATGAATCCGATGCGAGTAGTTGAAGTGTTATTATTGTTATTAATGAAGTATTCATTATAAATGATTTTGAAAACCTGCGTTACAGAGCAGGATGTTTATTATATGATGTTAATATGAAGGTGTGGCATCCTTGTTGGTGACTTTTGTTTGATTTTATATTAATTCATGAAATTATTCATTGGGTTAGAAGGGTGCTACATTAGGCCATTCATATGAGCTTACAGAAGTAGGGAGAAAAATGGAGCAAATGGGAGAAAAGAAGAAAACATTTATACGGGAGTTTGAACCACAAGGGATCCTTTAGACTGTAGCATAATTTGAAAACCTCCACCTCTTTATGACACATGCCACTAGTGTTTGAGGTCTCGAAAAATAGGTCATCATTAGTTAAATCATATGAAAGTAAGCAGGATCAGTTGAATGATTGATTAGCATTCCCATCAGACACTTTTAACTAATTAAGAGAGATCTGACAAATGACCTATCCCTTAATTTAAGGCTTACACGATTAAAAAGACCACCTTCAATTGAGGGACTAGCCCCAAAGGTGAATGACCAGCTTCTCATTAAATATGGTGGTCTTAAGTTGAGGAACTCGCCCTAAAACTGATGGACTCTCCTATCATTAAATAAGGTTACCTTTAACTGATGGACTCACCTCTCATTAAATAAGATTGTCCTCAGCTGAGAGACTCTCCCTAAAGCTGAGGGACTCACCTTTCACGAATAAGGTTTCCTTCGGCTAAGAGGCTCACCCCAAGCTGAGGGACGTACCTCACCAACAAAAAAAAAGCCTTGAAAACACCCTTTTACCAAGTCCTCGTGCTTGAGAGACTATGTAGTGTTATATTTTTGGAAGTCATAAATAAGGTCGACTTCAGAGTCACTGCCTAAGATTGATGTCGCCTAGGCGACGTTTAGACAAAACACGAGGGCTCGTCCATGAGACTGATGACATGCACAATAATATTGTCCCCCATTAGTCAACAGAGAGGGATCAATTGTCACCCCTAGCCACACGCTTATACCTAAACATCCCGCTCATATATAGAGTCTTTTACCTCACGTAAGCAGTTTCTCTAAACTACCACAAAACAACATCGTACATAGCTTATGCTGTTGTGGGCAAGTCCTAATCACCATACAACGTAATATACATATTAACACCTTTGAGTGTTTCTGTCCTTATAGGGGTAACATGCACACTTATACTTTATTTGATCAGTACAAGTATATTAATTTTAATGCACTTCTTCATGTTTTATTTTTATTTTTATTTAAATAAAAAATATTTTAAAATAATAATTATTTTATTTTTTAAAATATTGATATTTTTTATTTATTTTCTCTGATTAATTATGAGATGATTGAATGATGACGATTTTCACTGAACCTCAAATAAAAAATTTACGAGACAATTCATATACCCAAAAACTTTAAACAACCGTAATTTTAAAATAAAAAGAGTAATATGTAATGATATAATTACTAGAAATATCTAATGAACAAGTAAGAAATAAAATTAAAACTTTAGTCGGATTAAACTTTAATATATGTAATGATACTAAGACACAGTTCAACTGTAACAATAAAGGGGTAGAATTAGAATCTGATGTCAATTGATTATATTGTGTATATATTTTTTGTGAACAATTTATTGGCAAATGCATGAACTATATTTCTATAAATTTAGTTCTACAAATAGAATTACAAAAACAAAAATACAAAAGTTGTAACCTTGCCAGTGAAGGAGTATATTTTCTTCCCCAATTTTTTCACCTTTATCTTGTCTTTATTCATCTCAAATTTGACATAATCTCCTAAGTATCTTCAATGTCACATTTTTGTCTCTAGACTCTTCTCTCTCCCTTCCAAAATGCTTCAATAACTTAAACATTTATCATAACTCATCCCTCTTTTCATTGTAATCATAACTCCAAATGTTTCTTATTTGATGAGTGTTTGTTATATATCCATGTTTCTTTTTCTTTTTTGTCCAATGACCAAATAAGACAAAAGTGATGATGGTGCAATCAATTTGAAGGAAAGAAAAGTGGAGTTGAATAATCTCTACAAAGTTTCCCTTCCACAACTCTCACTTTACTCATCTTTTTTTCACACCAATGCAATTTTTCTTCACTTAATTCTTCCATTCTCAAAACCCTTGACACCACTTTTAAGTCTATTAGTGCCATTAACATTTCAATCTCTTCTTCCACCTTTAACTTTCTCTTTTTCAATCCTTTTCCTGAATGGCTTATATCCTTAACCTTCACCCTCTTCTGCATGCATGTATAGTTGTGTTAGTTAAAGGCTATGAAGCACATACACTCTAAAAAAGACTGACACGGCGACACTGATAAATTTTTAAAAAAATAAATAAATTTAACGTAATCACAAGTGTTAGTGTAGGTGTCTGATACGAATAAAGACACACATTTTTTTCCAGAAATATTAATACTACGTAAGTTATAAATGAATAAACCAACAAATATTTTATGTAATTATGATATCTCTGAACAAAAGTATGTCATGTTGATATCTAAAATCGATACTTGTGATTATTTACATTCAATTTATTATTTTTTCAAATTATTATTGATATTGTCGGTGTTTTCTAGTGTATGTGAAATATTGAAGAAAAGTTAGTTTCAAATTTGCAACATGCCTTTTGATTAACTTTCTTCATTAGCTTGAGTAGTGTTGGATCAACCATGCTTCTTTTATTTCTCCTAAAGTAATGTGTTAGGATCTCACATGATTTTTCTTTATCAGCCTTCAGAAAATTCATGAATGTGTTGATTCCACCTTCCATTATCTTAAGAAATGAAGCTGAAGATATCAAATCACTTTCCATCTGATTTTCCTCCGAATCTTTGTAAGAAAAACAAGAAAATTAGTTAAACATATTCATATTATTCATATGTGTTGGTGTCGTGTTAGTGTTGGTGTCAGACACTGATACGTGTCAGACAAAGACATTAATACATGTTAGACACGAGAAATGTTTGATAGTACAAAAATAACGTATCATAAGTTTTGATAGTATAAAGATAACAAAAACTGATATGTATCAGACACAAGACACGTCTTGAATCAGAAATGTCGATAGTAAAGAGATAACAATGATAAAATCAAGTCCGCGATTTGCAGGTTGTTAATACATAGATTTGAGTTTCATCTTATATTTTTGACGTGAAATCTAGTTCTAGGAGAGAGAGAGAGAGAATAGTAATTATATCATATTCTTACTGTGATATTCTGGCACTAGTAGCAACTTTGGTGCTAGAAGTCTCATTCTAGCATAGATTTCAGGTCTTCTTCCATGCTCATAAGGCTCATTCTCTACGTATCTCTGCAACAAAACCTGAAACTGCTGAAATTGTTGTGCAACGGATGCAGAACAGTCGAGATCAAGATCATGGCGCGATTGTGACGAGTGTTTGGAACGAAAATTTATGTAGTTCCAACTAAGAGCTTCCCATGTTAAGCAAATTTGTGAAACATATGCAGCCTCTAGTTCATGATATGGATTGTGACCTACATCACTTGGCTTTTTGTTTATACTCGAAAACTTGTTCGCAATTCGCTCGGATATCGACCTTGGTGACATTTGGATTGATCTTAAAGACTCTGAAAATGGAATTACTAAAAAAGCCTTTATATACTTACCCCATTATATAAGTTCGAATAAGTCAATCGAAACAGACTAAAATATAATTCACGATAATTACCACTTACCGATTTCGTGAAGTTTATTCTGTGCACTAATTCTATCTAAGAATGCATTTTCTTCATCATATTTTTCAAACAAAGTGTATGATTCCCACTTAGGACAACTTCTTCTAGATGAAGTAGAAAATTCATCATCTGTTCCTGAATCCCTGTCATGAATGGAGCTTCTGCATTCATAAGAGGAGCAAGTAGAATCATCATCATCATCATCATCATTATCTTTTTCTTCACCAACAATCATCTTCTTACTATTCAATTGTTTTGAAGCAAAAACAAAGAATCTCTCATCCCTTGTATGGCTTGTTTCTTGCACCTTTTTATTCTTGATTATTCCAACACCAACTTGATCATCTGCATTATAAAGTAATGTCAATATACATGATTAAAAATCCTCGACCGCGTTAGTCTTTTCGGATCGATCAATTAATTCACGAAAATTGTCTTAAAATAGTTGAAAATTTTCTAGTACCTTTATAGTTTTTGTTACTTTTATATAGGTTCAAGTTGATCATGGAAGAGGTTGGACTACTTTCAAATTGAACATAACTTGGAACAGAATCAACAACATTTCTTGATTGAAATTCTTCTCGAAACGCTTTAGTCTTTTCGTTTTCGAAGTCAGAAACTTGTGGTGAGTTATGAATAGACAATGTTTCATAACAAATATTTTCTTCTAAGTCTTCAACGAAACTCTCTCGCGGAGTAATGAACTCTTCGGAATAACTAGAATGAGTCATTCGACGCTCTACCTTGTCACACGAAGCAACACAAGAATAATTTTCTCGAGTTTCTTCATCTTCTTCTTCTTCTTCCTCTTCTTCATCATCATCGTCCGAAAACACATATTCATATTGTTGATCCCTACAATATATAGAAACTCGAAGTTAAATAAATCTTATATGCAAAATCAATATAGTTGCAAAAGAAGAGAACTAACAAGACCTTTGGATTAAAGGAAATCGACCGGTGAAGGTTAAAAATGTGAGAAGAAAAATAGAAATCGAAAAGAGTAGCAAGAAGAGAAGTTGGAAAGAGGTTGAGACATTGTTGAAGAGTTTAAGAAGAACATGTTGTTTGGGACATATCATTTTCTTTGAGGTTGTTCCAAAGTGAGGACTCCACCACCACTAAGCAAAGAAAAGAAAAGTTATGTTATGTTATGTTGCTTTCATGATATCTAAAATTTTTGTCCAACATTGTTTTTCAAATGTCAAAATAAGGTAAGTTTTTGTTTTTCCTATTTGAGATAAAAGCAAAAAAGAAGAGACCAAAACCAAGTCACACGCATAGGTAGACAAACATGAACTTCACTCTTTTATTGATCCTTGTCTTTAACGTGGTTATTAAGATTGCAGATTATGAACAAGTGTTGTCTACAAGGAATAAGTTGTATTATATAACTATTTTGTTGGTGTGTACCACTTAGAATGTTTATATAAGTGACAAATCTAGGAACTTTAAGTGTTACTATTATGTTCAAATTCAACCATTTTTTATATATGATTTCTTTCTTGAAGTAATTGAGAATTATTTAAAGACTTACATCGATCCATTTCACTTACTGCTGAGAGAGGAATGTGAATGGGCTATTAGACGATGATTTTACCTTGCATCTAATGAGATGCACCCTACACCCCCTTACAATTAAAAAAACCTCTATAAATTCAAAAATCCGGTAGAAATTTTTTAATCTTTGCTAAATGAAAAGGTTGGAAGTGTAGCCGAACATTTTAGGAAAATTATTAAGAGAAATTATATGTTTACAATGAGTTTTTTTGACATGTACACCTCTAAATGTAACCAAGGCTATCTCACGCGCGTACTATGTGTCTCACTCCCTGATCATCATATGCTAATTGATGTAGATTCAGCTTCTCAAGGGTGTGTTCCCACCATAGAGTCTCATGGGTTGTTCACACCAAATTACGCGTAGCTGTTGGATTCGACCCTTATTTGGTCTTAGGAATTTCAGATCCCTCGTGTTTACTCTTTGCAGCGAGGCCCGTTTCTTTTTTCTATTTTGTTTGTTTAATTCATTTTCTCTTTTTTATTAATTTCATAAAAAAAGAATCATAAAAAATCAAAAAATTCACAAAAATAATTAGACTTAGATTTTCATTAATTAAATTAATTTTAATTAATTATTTTAATCATTTTTTCTCTTAATTAATTAAACTAATTAGAATTAGGATTTTCTTAATTTAATTTAATTATTTCTCTAATAAAAAAATGCAAAAACAACCAAAAATTATTTTTTTATCACTTAGATTTCTAGGGTTTTCACGTATTTCTCTTTTCTTCTCAGCGCATTCATTCATTTTTATTCGCACTATTTTTATAATATTATATAAATGTATATGGGATGTAATAGACTTTAACTAGGACTTTTTACTTTTTATTCCCCATTTTTTGTTTGTAATTTTCCCCCATCTAGAAGCATTGTAATAGCGTAGATTCAAATTTTTACATTTTACTTTTCGTACTTATATTAACTGCTAGATGTATGCTAATAGGCTTATATGATAAGACTAAAAGCAAATGCTAAAAAACCTAACATTCAAAGACACATAACTGAAACACAACACACGCGCACACGCGCACCGCTGAGGTACCTCCACTTGTTGCCTTCGGAATAAACAAGTCACGTCTCTCGAACGTGAGAGACTTTAGCAGTGACCCTTTGGTTATAAGATCATAAGTCCCTCGGTGACCCTTTCGACGTTACCTTAGTAAATAATCTTAAGACCTTAGAGTAATTGCTAAAGTATCTTACGAGTTACCTTTGTGACTGTACGATGACCCTCGCTTGTCCCTCAAAACATCCAACGATATGGCTACCTACTGACTAATAGTAGGATAACAATGTCTAAAGGAAAAGAGGAAAAGAACAAAGATCGTTCGAGTAGGTAGATCGCTCATAGTTGCTTGCTCACAAAAATAAACAAAACAATTTTTCACACATACACAAACTCTTTTCTAAATATTTTCAAAGACAAAAAACACTTTGTATACGTTCTCAGCGATACGAGAAACATTACAAAGTTCTCCGCACTAAGGCGTATTTTCAAAAATATTTTCAAATGCACTTACACCAAAAAAGCATTTTAAAAGTGAGCTAGCAACTAAGAGTCCGTAGATAACTATAGATGAAAAGGGTGCTAACACCTTCCTTTTTTCATAATCTACCTCCCGAACTCAAAATCATTTAAAAGAAAAGTCGGATAAAAAGGGTGCTAACACCTTCCCTTTTTCATAATCTACCTCCTGTTCTTTTCACCGTTTCCTTTGTTGGATAAAAGAAAAGTCGGTGGAGACTCTTGTTAACCGTAACAATTACGATAAAATGCAAAACCAGTAAAGTCAGTTCTCCCACCGTATTACATCATCGACGACCCTTCAAATGTTGCCTTCGGTAAATGATCTTAGTCCCTTACGACAATTACTAAAACATCCTATAAGTTTCCTTCTATGAATGTACGATGACCCACGCCTATCCCTCACATCCAAATATATGGCTTCCTTCTAACTAATGATAGACAAACACTATATAAGGGAGGAGGAAAAGAACAAAGACTTTTTGAGTAGGTAGATTGCTCGTAATTTATTGCTCACAAATGAAAACAATCTTTACACCTCACACTTTCAAAAACAAACATCTTTTCAAACACTCTCTTTCCAAACAAATATTTTCAAAATAAACATTTTGTATACATTCTCACTGATACGAGAATTATTGCAAAGTTTCTACACTAAAGCATTTTCAAAATATTTCCAAAAACAAACATTTTCTATACATTCTCAACAATACGAGAATTATTTCAAAATTACAACTTTCAAAACATCTTCAAAAACATCTTTCAACATACACAAACACAAAGCATTTTTAAGTGATCTAGCAATTAAGAGCCCGTAGATAACTACAGATGAAAAGGATGCTAACACCTTCCCTTTTTATAAACTACCCCCCGAACTCAAGAAAATTATCAAAAGGTATTTCCTATTATTCTCACCCTTTCCTTTATTGGATAAAAGAAAATTCAGTGGCGACTTTTGCTATCCGCAACATTTGCGATAAAACGCAAAACACCCAAGTCAGTTCTCCCACCATATCACAGAACTGACGACTCTGCTGGGGAATTAAACTAAAAGTGGGGTTACCTTAAGAGCTAGATCACCTTTATTTGCTTTACTTGTTTTCCTTGTTTGCTTTACATTTTGGGTTATGCTTGGGTTTATTTCTTGTATAGATCCTATACTCGGATCTGGTGCATATTAGGTAAGTAGCAATAGATCGTGGAAACTGTACGACATAGACCAATATGGTTGAAGCGATGGCTGCATTAGTGCGACAAATTTGTGGGTACTGGTGTCCCTTGAGTTAAATCAAGGAGAATACAGAGCCACTGAGTGGTGTCATAAAACACTAACTGACTGTAGAACCTTAGTTGAACAACTTGGCCATTAGAAAGTAGTGAGATATCCGAATTTGGTGTAGACTGAAGTTTGTTGATACTCTATACTACACTCATTGAGATCAGACTTTCGGGATATTTCAGTCACGAAAATAGATTTCTTGTGCTGAAACAACACCCGATGAAGAAAATTAATGATATTGAGATTCCTTAGAACCCAGTTACTTCTTTTAGGATAGGTTGAACCAACTAAACCTTTAAGAGGGTACTTACCTATGAACTCCATGCAACCCTAAACCTAAGGCCTTTGTGTGTTTTGTTTGTGTATAATTATTTGTTCATGACATCATAACATCATACCATAGCATTTTTACTAACCATTTCAAGGACCTAGGGATTTATCTTTGTTCTATTTTGTAGATCATGGATTTCGCTTGCAGAAATACCATCTGAATCAGCTTTGTAAAGGTACCTCCTCAACTCAAAGAGTTAGCATCAAGGGTTCCTGAAGATTCTCCATTCACCAAAAGATATGGTCGACTTCTCAATTTGGTTACCTCAAGCTTTAAAGAAGACATGATGTGTGTGCTCTTTCAATTCTTTGATCCTATACATCACTGTTTCACCTTTCCTGATTATCAATTGGTGCCCACAATGGAATAGTTCTCCCAGCTGTTAGGAGTACCAGTCCTTGATCAAATACCATTCACTGGTTTAGAGGAAATTCCAAAATCTGAAGTTGTTGCAAAGGCTTTACATTTGAAGAGGTCTGAAATTATAGATAATTGGGAAATAAGGAGTAAAGTCAAAGGTTTTCTATATAAGTTTTTATTAGAGAAGGCTCGACTGTTTTGGGAGGCTATGGATTTTCAAGCTTTTGAAGAAGTCTTGGCTCTTCTAATCTATGGGTTAGTATTGTTCCCTAATCTAGACCAACTCATAGATGTGAATGCTGTCAAAATCTTCATTTCTCGTAACCCAGTGCCTACTTTACTCGGAGACATTTTGCATACTCTTCACACTCGTACCATGAGGAAGAGAGGGGATCTTATGTGTTGCATACCGTTGCCATCTAGCTGGTTTATTTTTGCACCTTCCCCAGTCAGTTTTGAAGAATGAACAAGGTTTGATTTGGTCTCAAAGGATGATGTCTCTCTCTCATTCTGATATCTTTTGGTGTTCCCTATCTCTGGAGGATGTTACTTTCATTGACCGTTATGGGGAGTTCCCTAATGTTCCACTCCTTGGCATTAAGGGAGGTATTAATTATAACCCTTCTCTGGCTCTATGAAAATTTGGTTATGCGCGAAGAGATGGTCCTCATGATGCAGTTATCCATGGTATTATATTCGACTATGAGAACGATGTCCAAGGTTATCGTCAAAGGTTTGTATGAGCTTGGGGCATGGTAAACAAGGTTGATAGCAAGACTTTGGGACATAAGAACTCCATCCATTTGGAGCCTTATCTCAAGTGGGTGCGAGCTCGCGCTCAAAATCTCATGATGCCATATCCAGCTATCCTACCAATAGTTGTGGAGCTTGTTGCAGAGGGAGATATTCCTTATACTATTCTCCATCCTGACATGCCTACCGACCTCGAAGAATTGCAGAAATCATGGATTCAACTCAAAGGGGAATGAGACACCTTTGAAGCTCGATTCTACGCAAGCGAGA